CGCCATGTTGATGACGTCAGCAATGCGGTTTAATCGGGCGCGGCTTAGTCGAGCGCGGTTTTGACGGGTCACGAAGGTTGGGACCTCTAGCATTTATAATGAAGGCCGATCAAACCAATGTATCCCTCGGTGCATACTGACATGTTTATGGGCTAGTGTTAGTTGAGAGTTGAACAGAATGCCCTTTCTTTCCTCTCTCTCCTTGGATGGTCCTTAGGCTGTGAGCATCACTTATTATTTTCAGCAGGCCTCGGATGCATATTTTCTATTTAAAGCTAGCCATTTGGTAAGGCCCTGAAAAAGGAGAACTCTAGCTGACTGCATAAACAGAAGAGAAGCACCGTTTCAATGTACATCTTCTGCAGTTAGTCTCTCGGGATAGGGCGGCATACAAATGCAATAAACATTTCAAACATTTCTGTGCGTGCAAACTGCAAAGGAGCTACAAAAACTGTAGCCAATCCAGGCCCATCATCTTCCTTGTTACAGCTCCACCCATGATTGCATTACAGAACATGGATCAATTTGTAAAATAAATTGCACTTAAATATGCCGAATTATTTCCAGAACTGCTAAAATGCATTTTCTACAAAGCGAGTGACGGAAAAACGGTACATCCTTTTAAGGCGCCATGTGATTTTTTTTCTTTTCAGATCTTTACGTATGTGATGACTTGTCTTTTTTAAAAGATCTTCCCTCTTCCCTCTATACAGTGAGCATGGCCACTAACAGGCTTATAGGTGGAGTGGCAGGGACCGTTCTGGCCCTGGGGGTGATATTTGGAGGCACAGGGTGGGGAATAGAGTAAGCATATTTATTAGTTTCGGAGTTTGATGTTTTGGTGCCTACTGTGTTAGGTAACTGTACGCATCTGGTCCCCCTGTGTACTCCAACTAGCTTCGTGTTCTGTGGTGACTGTATTTGTCATGTGATTTGAACATTTGTGCCGTGCGATATGCTCATCATGCAACTGTTTAACTCTCTCCTGTCTGGGATAATGTGGGGCATAAAACAAAACGTTTGTCAATTGTGTAGCACCGTAATTAATGCAATTCAATGTTTATGTGTTTTCAATGCTCCAAATTATAAACGAGATTTCAAAAAATTATTATACTTTTTTTTAAAAAAAATGTGTAAATCGATCTTAGTGCACTTGATATAATTTGGTTTATTGCCAGAAGCATTCAGAGGAATAGTAAGTAAAAGTATATGATTTAAATAATTCAGAAGCAGAATTGTCCAAATCACTGTTTTCCAATCTTGGCCACTTTAAAATGCCTGGATTCCAGCTCCCAGAATACCTCAGCCAGCATGTCTGAAGTCTAGACACCTTAAAGCAGTGTTTCTCAACCTTGGCGACTTTAAGTCCTGTGGACTTCAACTCCCAGAATGCCCCAGCCAGCACAGCTGATGAGGAAACTATCATTCTTCATCAGGCTGGATATTAAGTTCCTTGTGGAGATCCTTTATTATAGCAATAGCAGTTAGACTTATATACCGCTTCATAGGGCTTTTAGCCCTCTCTAAGCGGTTTACAGAGTCAGC